AAGGGAGAGAAGATAAAGGCAATCAGTGGGGTTTAACACGGGTATGGACAGTGACACAAAGCATGTGATAAAGGGCTCAAGCTGGGTTGAGAATTCAAGTGCGTGTGAGCCAGTGACCATAACAGGATCACGGTGTCTCACGTGCACACCTCAAACACATTTTGTGCAAAGGGAGCCAACGATTCAAAGCACATTTCCCAACAGGCTCACAGTTGACTCAATTTCCTGTCATCACTGTCATTTTGGACTCCATTTCCCATCAACATCACAGCAGATGCCATCTCCCATTACAGCCATTTAATTGGCAGTTGGCACTCTGAGCTATTTGTAGCTCTTGTCAATCATGCATGGAGATGACACACCACAGATAGATAAAATAAGGTCACCATAATTTCCAGGATGATGTTTTAATAATTATTTCATAGTGAGTGCTCTTGCCCTTTTCTTTTGGCTCACAAAATGCAACGTTACGAACGAGTGTGATGAGATGCTGCAAACATCAGGGACTGAGCCCATGATCCATTTTAAACATTAGACGTAACCTGGTTAAGTCATGCTGTTAAACGCATAACCTCCTTGCAAATGCAGGTACAGTGTGTTTCCCATTTGCCCACTTTGAACTGGTATGTTTTCTAGAAGTGTATATAACACCAAAATCGTATTATCGTGAAATCAGTACTATGTAAACAACATTACAATTTTATATTATAAATATGTATCTCTAGATGTCTGTAAAGGAAAAATTCCTGCCTGGGTATACCCTAGTAAAAAGCCTATGCCAACATTTATTTAAAAAACATTTATTTCATACTAAGTATACTTCAAATCCATGAATGCATATATTGACTGCAAAAATTATAATCAAACATTGTTTGGAGTATCTCTTTATTGCACAATGCACATTTCTTAATATTATGCCTAAAATGTGTTTTAATACAGTCAGTACGTTTACATGGACAACAATACTCCGATTTTAATATGATTAAGACAATACTCTGATTAAGAATCTACCATGTAAACAGAGATTCTTGCTTGCCTTAATCCAGCTAAAGTCATAATCGAAGTAAACACTATTCGAATTAAGACGTGTGGAGTATTCCTATTTTAGTCGCATTACTGAAGTGCAGTATAGACATGTAAACACTTTAATCACATTATTACCGTCGTGTAGGACTTTTCGCCGCATTTTGCGACAGGATACACACACGGCATGGTCAACCGTTTGATGGCAAATAAAAGAGCTTCAACACCACCATCGTCTGTATGCACGTACAAATAATTAACTGCACTTGACGCTTTCATAAAATTAAAAATGAAACACCCAAAACTGTACATGGCATCATTACGAAGACTAACTATATGTATATATGTGGAATTCCAAAGGGGACGTCGGATGGTGTCACGTGGGACGTAATGACGTGCGCCATTAATCGAACTATGTACTATAACATGTAAAACGGGAACATGAAAGGAATATTCTAAAAGCAACTCGTGTAAACACCTTAATCATAATATTGTCTTATTTAGTATATAGTATACTAAGGTAATAAGGTAAATAATTAGATTACTGATGTCCATGTAAACGTAGTCAGTGAAGGAAAAAATTATTTGATCCCCAGCTGATTTTGTACGTTTGCCCACTGACAAAGAAATGATCAGTATATAATTTTAGTGGTAGGTTTATTTGAACTGTGAGAGACAGAATAACAACAAAAAAATCCAGAAAACCGCATTTCAGAAAAGTTATAAATTGAGTTGCATTTTAATGAATGAAATAAGTATTTGACCCCTTTGCAAAACATGACTTAGTGCTTTGTGGAAAAAACCTTGTTGGCAATCACAGAGGTCAGACGTTTCTTGTAGTTGGCCACCAGGTCTGCACACATCTCAGGATGGATTTTGTCCCACTCCTCTTTACAAATCCTCTCCAAGTCATTAAGTTTTCGAGGCTGATGTTTGGCAACTCGAACCTTCAGCTCCCTCCACAGATTTTCTATGGGATTAAGGTCTAGAGACTGGCTAGGCACTCCATGCCCTTAATGTGCTTCTTCTTGAGCCACTCCTTTATTGCCTTGGCCGTGTGTTTTGGGTCATTGTCATGCTGGAATACCCATCCACGACCCATTTTCAATGCCCTGGCTGAGGGAAGGAGGTTCTCACCCAAGATTTGACGGTACATGGTGTAGCATCTCTTCCAATCTGACACTCTAATTTTTATTTGATTTAACAAATCAATTATTCATTAGATTAACAAATTGTCACAGTCCCCTCACTCAATTAACTGGATGCCAGGATTTCTGCTGAACACCATCCCCCCTTGGTCACCATGACAACTAATCATGATATCACTGGTTTTATGACCCCCCCCCCAGGAATGTGAGTAGGATAACCCACTCTTTGTCCCCATAGGAGAGGCAGAGCAGAAATTGACTTTTCTACTAATTAATTCATAGGAAAACCTTTCTTTGAATGAACACACATATCCTTCAGGTCATTGGGTATATTATTGTCATCGTGTATTTTGTCTTTGATATTTTTAGACTATTTTAGTATGCTTGTGAGGGAACCCATTCCTGATCATCCCTTTTCACTATATGTAATCTTACCTTGTTTAGTATCTATGAATTTGCCTTCTTATGATCAAAACAAGCGTGTATATTATATGTTGGTACATGGCAATATATTAGTGTCCTGAGAATCTTTAGTATTGTCGATTCAAGTTCCAGATACTAAGTTCCATGTTTCCACACAAAGAGTCATAAACTCCCCAGGATCTATATTCACTAGAGTATTTACAGCAGGATTCCTGCTCCACACATATTTAGAAAGTGGGCCTCATTAATGAATCTGATGCTGTTTTTATTTATTTTAAGTTAAAAAGGCCTAAATCACTGAATCTTCTCCTCCAGTGAGCTGTTAAACTGAGAACCACTGCAACTGGAGTCGATTGGCTGAAGTCAAGAACCTGATAAGTGAACAAATCATTTAGACCGGTTTTGTGAAATGAATCAACAGATTCAAATTAAAGAGTTGTTCTTAATTTCTTTATATAGTGCACAAGTTAAATGGACCACTTTTAATGATGTTTTTGTAAATTATTAACCAAAAACTAATTTATTAGGTTACACCAGCAATCCATAAGGCAGTGCAACCTTTTTGAATTAAAGGTGCCCTGCCCTGTTTTCCAACACAATATTCCCATATATTTCAGAGAGATAGAAGGAGAGATATTTCCAGTATTTCTGCTGTAATTATGACAAGGCTGCTTGCTTTCAAAGATTTGTATGAAATTTACATTACTAATTAATGTAATGAATTTAATTAACCACAATTTATTTTGTGATTCCAGTGGTTATGATCTGTATTCCGAAACTGTACACTCTAAAAAATGCTGGGTTAAAAAGGAACAAACCCAGCTATTGGGTTGTTTTGACCCAGTGGTTGGGTTCAAAACAACTTTTTAACCCAAGTTTTAACCCTTTTTAACCCAGCGCTGGGTTATATTTAACCAAGCAATTTTTAGAGTGTATGTGTTTCTATAGTTATTGAGGTAAAAAAAAAAATGTTTTACATGTAATTGATTATTATTAATTTATTCAACAAATTTAATTCTATTAATTTAAATACTTCTATTTAGTGGTTGAGAACCACTGCCATAAGGTAACAACTGCTGGCCATTTTTTACTGTGCGCATCCTTTCTGAAACTTGACAGCTTCAGTTTCGTGGTCAGTTTTAATTTTAATTTGATCATTAAAATTCCCCACAGTTTTTTTTTCTTCTATTTAAATTGTGGAAAAGACAGCACATAAGGTCCGGGCTGTTTAAAACACGTTTGGGGCTATAGCCCAATAGTCTGGACTGTGGTTACCCACCTGGTTACCAGCAGATGCAGTATGGAAGAAGAGAGGCAGGTATTGCTGCAGGTAGCTGTGACTGTATTAGTGATGCTTGAGTTGCAGTGTTTATAGAAGAAGGCCTGGGGCATGGCGTCCTGTTACATGACAGCTCTACAAATGGCTTTTGCCCATAACGGCATGCTAATGCTTACAGTAAAACACTGGTTATGGTCACAGTCATGCAGCAGCAGGGGATGTCACATTTGTTCCTCTAACTGGAGTGTTTTTGTTTCGGGCCAGGGTTCATCACCTTGTGTTTGTGCTTATTAAAGAGAGTGGGCAAACATTTTCAGGCAGAAATCATGATTCATTAATTCAGTTCACACTTATATTTTGTTTAAATTTAGGATAAATATTAAAACCACAAATACATCAATTCCACAGAATCCGGGTGGCCATAGAAACAGGAAATGTGTGAAGCCAAAATGTTGTTATATAAAATATTTCTTAAAGGGGTCATATGATGCTTTTTTAAAGATCATTATTTTGTGTTTTTGGTGTAACAGAATATGTTGACATGCTTTAATGTTCAAAAAACACATTATTTTTCAAATACTGTACATTATTGTAGGTCCTCTATGCCCCGCCTCTCTCAAACGCTTTGTTTTCTACAAAGTCCCTCCTTCCGACAAGCGCAGTCTGCTCTGATTGGCCAGCTGACCCAGTGCATTGTGATTGGCCGAACACCGCAAGCACTCGTCGGAAATGTAACGCCCCTTACCATAATCGCGAGCTTCATCTTTCAAAATAAATGTAAAGACAGAGCCCGAAAGGGGAACAGAGTCGCGTGACAGACACAGTGATGAAGCTGGTGTGTGTGCAGTACACAAGCCACGGTTAAGACAGCTGACTCTACTGTGATGTGACCCCCTCTCTATCTCTCTCTCTCTCTCTTTATTTGCATGACTGTAAATGATACAATATTGCCAAAGCTTAGTACACATGTACAAAAAGATTTAAAGAAAAAAATAAAAATAATAATATAATAACAATAATAAGTAAATGAACATCACAGTAATATAATGGAATATTATAACATCTTAGAAGTATTAAACTGTAACAAATTATAACGTGAACATTTGATACCACAGTCTTTAACTTGCATAGAAACACCCATAAATACTTTGGATCACTGTGGTGGACAGTAGGGTAACACACTGAGGTCAGACACAACACACATTCACCTGCTGTCTCTCAGGCTGTGGCACATCCACACGTATCTCGCAGCCAGTGCTGCTGCCTCTCTTCCCCTCTCGCTCACTCCCTCGCTCTCTTGCACTGTATCTCACGCTCTCTCTCGCTCGCTCGCTCGCGCACACACACGATGCGCAAAACTCCGCATTTGAACAGTCAATAGCAAATACTTAAACTAATAACAAAACAGTAGCTGATTCAGAAGCGCCAGATTGTCATAGCAAAGTCAGAATTACCTCCTCTCCTAGGTTCACGAAACGGTCATCCATAAAATGCATTGCTGTTCTGTTGTAAGTCATCTTAAAGATTCCTAAATGCATCTACTTTCAGAAGGCCAAATAAAGTGCTTTTGCTTTCGCCTAGAAACACACAGCGTCTCTCTGACATGGCTGCTTCAACACTAACTGCGGTTACTGAAACCATGCCTTCTTTTCTTCTTATATTTGGGTGGCATTATGCAAATATTTCCACATAGGGAGGTAGATATGTGGGGGCGTGTTAGAACGAGCCGTTTTAGGGGGGCGTGGCAGAGTCTTAACTTTGATAAAGAATATCTCTTTGGTTTTGAGACTTCAGTCTTTGCAACTTCAGGGATCTTATCAATGCACAATCAGCTTGTAACACTCCAAAGAGAAAGGGAAACTTGAAATCGCATCATATGACCCCTTTAATAAATTGAACGACTAAGTGACCCTACTTCATTTAACAATTTAATGTGCATTATAGCTCAATCTGGATTTAGTTTTAAAAGTGCAATTGGTCATGTGTGTAGTCTAAGCCTCTGCAAAAGGTTTTTATTGTTTTTATGTCATTAAGAATGACAAACTTGGCATTTCTTGAAAATCATTCTCAGGAGTAAAGATCTTTAGAGTGCATAAGAATACATTTGCAAAGAGTGAAAATGACTTTTGACAGGTGCAGACTTAATGTTCCTTTCACTTCCATCCATATGCAAAAGTTAGATGTGAAAGAAGTTGTCTTTTAAGTTTGGTGAACTCTTGACTAAAATTCTTAATCATATGGTGAACGACATTTGACCAACCTTCATCAGTGGAAGATATATTTTGCAGGGTTTGAAGTAATTTCTAGTTTTTAAAGTTTAATGAGACTCTTAAAAATTAACAAAAAAATAACATGTAATAACACATTTATTTGCATGCACACTTTGTCTGGAAGAAATTTTGTCTGATAACCTTTCCAGTGCACATAAGTATATTTGTATGCGATTATTAGTGAACGAGACCCCGTGTGTTTACAGACATGCTTGTATGTGTGTGTTTGTATTGTCATTGTTCAATCTAATTTTATTTCCACACACACATCAGTTCAGTTATCTCTTTTCTCTCTATCACTACCTGTTTTATATTCATTCTCTTGTGTTGTCTTCCCTGCATCTCTCCCATCTTTCTTGTGCACTTGTTGTTTTTGATGCACCTATGTTGTCATTCTCCTTCTATCTCTCTGTCTGTTTCATATTCATCCCTTTCTATTAAGACTTCCTCATTCATCTCTCTCTGGGAAAAATTATTAATATTAATGTTTCTCCCTCTCCTCTCTTTCCTCACCCTCTATCTCATCCTCTTAACATTACCCTTTCTCCATATCTGTTCCTTACTGTCTGTCTCTCGTTCACATTTCACTTGGATCTCTCTCTCTCTCTCTATCTGTCTAAGTATTCATCTATTAGTGTTGATGATTCTTTTCTATCCCTGCAGCTGTACAGTCATCTATCAGTTTAATAATCTCTCCATCCTTCTGCCTTCTGCCCTGCTCTCTCTCTCTCTCTCTCTCATGTCTCTCTTCCTCTTATTTTTCACTGAGCCGAAGTGTAAAATCCTGTGTTAAATGAACATGCATGTCAGAGTACGATAATTAGGGCCATCATCATTAGTAATGGCCTGTGTCTCATTGGATACCCTTATATAAGGTTACTGGAGTCTAAATAACCTAAGAGCTAAGCCCCCTTGCATGGGGTTCAGGTTGAATTAGCCATCCATCAGCCGAAGCACATTGCACCAGTTAATACTGCTCCAAGACCCCAAGGGCCTCAACTCTATGGGCGAGTATGGACATAAAGATTAGTACCATAGTTCACACATGCAGTATTATTGTAGAAAAGCACAAGGGAGCTAAGCACACAAATCTGGTGAAGGTGAATAAATGTAGCTCTGTTTTGTGTATTGCGTAAAGCCAGAATCCAGAATTAACACTCGCCAAATATGAGTAAAATGTGATTGTGGCATTTACGAAAATGTTTGTTACTCTCTAGCAACATAATACATGGTTTAAATTTAAAGAAGGCTAGTCTGATCATCACTAATGGAAGTGGCAAAATGATTCAAACTGAATCATTTAAAGTCATGATGGAAGATTGTGTTGTGACATTTGATTAAAAATCAACTATAATCTACTAAAGAAAACGATACCTAGGATAAAGGTTATTTTCTGCCGAACTCCATGTGGCAAGACATTATGCTTCCCAAATGTAAATGAGGAACAAAATTACAACAAGTGTCATTGTCTTAATGACAGATGCAGTTTTAATGGGAGAAGACGCTCATTTCCCATATGATGCTGCAAGTGATACCGATCAAAAAACAAACAAAAATTGTCATATGAACAAAAGTATTTTTATTAAAAATGTAGAAAAATACGCTTGCATGGCTGGTATGAAATATTTAGCTTGTCATTTTTCTTCATTCACCTGCCATTGGCCAGTGTGTGGCTGAAAGCTTATTTTGGAGCTTGCGTACAGCAGTCAATTTGAAGCCTAGGATGTTGTTTTAGATGCATGTGGGTCATATAGCACCTGAATACCTATAAAGAGGATCATTAACACGCACAGAGAGACAAGAATCTGGGTGCATTATCAGTGTACAGTATGAGTTTTCCAGGCGAGAGACTGCATATGTAACATCATTAGTCTTTGCATCCCTAAAACAATTTTTTACTTTTTAACTTGATGCATTAATTTTGCTATTGTGTAAGTAACTATTGTGTGGCATTTTAGCTTTATATGTACCTGAAATATTTGAATCTATAAGAGTAGCAAAACATGGCTTTCTTCTTTGTTTCTCTTTTGCAGTAAAACATGCATTCATCACAAAGAGGCCTGTCAAATAGGAGGACCTGTTAAGGCAAAGACATATCTGTATGAAAAAATAAACAAGGACAAAACACGCCACCAACCAAGGAGACTGAATATTTCCACTGAAAAATGCAGAAGTGACATCCATTGCGGAAGGAATCTACAACTGTTAAAAGAGACCGTATTCAAGAGACATTGGAATCAGCCTACCATCCTCTTTGGAACACAGGAAGGGTCATGACCCAGTTGCCATGCGCATCACCACGGTGACCAGCCTTCCTAGTCCCTCCCCCCTCCTCCTCTTATTGGTTCAGCTGCTGTTGTGGCTCATCCTCCCAGGTCAAGAGGCAGTCAGAACCGCCTCCACCTGTCCCGTGCCGTGCAGTTGTTCTAATCAAGCTAGTCGCGTGATCTGTACAAGACGAAACTTAGAAGAGGTGCCCGACAGTATATCAAACAACACACGATACCTCAACTTACAGGAGAACTCAATACAGGTAAATTCTGACTATACTGGTCTTTTCCCATCAGGCTTTGGGAGAGGATGTTTATGTTTGTTTGTTTCTTAGATTTATTGAGTGTCAGTTTCGCTAATGTTGCTTTAACACGGAGTTGTGTTAGCACAAATGGCTCAGCCTTGCTCAAATATTGAGGTTTAAGTGTGAAGTCAGGTGTTAATATGACCTACTTTGAGTGTGAAGGTTTAGATTTATTCTTAAGATGATAAAGATAATAGCAAACACACTGCTCACCCCGACAGTGAAAGTGTTAACCAAAAACAAGCCTATTAAAAATGAATAATAATAATAATGCTTTTCATCAAGCCTCCATTTAAGCATAACAATTCTTATTTGGTTTGTTGTGTCCTCGAGCCCCACTTGAAATGATTAAAAATCTAAAAATGTTTTAATACCTGAAGGCATCCTAGATTATTTGGCTTCTTTCTCTCCCATAGCATTTTACCACAAGAGTGCAGCTCTGACAGATTCCACCCCCCTCTTCAACACCCCCAACCCAGTGTGTTTAACACCCTCCTCCCCTCCCCTGCTCTATATACAGAGGGGATTGTGGCAGTAGGCCAGGAGGAAGCTTCTCGCTGCCCAAGAAAAACAGTTCTGGCTACATCCGATGCACAGAGACAAATTGTTTTAGAACCCACAGCATTTAGGATGTGTGAATATTCTCTAGTCTTTTCATTTGGTTTTTCATCAGGTTTTAGCACATTCTAATATTATGATTATTTCCACCATTACTGAGATGTACAGTTGCAAGCCATTTATATGGGGCATTTTTGTATTGGGTTTTGAAGGGACAGTTCACTCAAACATGAACATAGTGTCATTACTTTCTCATCTTCATGTCACTTAAAACCTGTATGCTGTTCTGTGGAAAATTATAGCTTTTTGAGAAATCCTTATGCAGTACTTTTCCTTTCAGATAACAATTTATGTTAGGATACAAAAATAAACAGACACACAATAAAAGTAGTATTCCATCTGCTGTTTTAAAGCCGTATGATAATGGTGTGTGAGAACAAATGTAATGTTTTAAATGAATTATTCACTTATATTTTCCTCTCTAAAGTGGTCCAATGCCCTGTGCCAGGTTTAACATGGACACTAAACAGCATTCGTTTGTGTGTGTCAGAATTGAACGTGGTTCAATTGCCCGTTCAAATGTGTCGAATTAAATTTGAGTGCTACAGCGGAGGGTAAGATTTGCTGTGAACAGCAACTTTTATTCTGTTCTTTGCACAGAGCTGTCATATGGATTAATTTGAAAGTGACTTTATGTTGTTGTTTTCTTTGAGAAGGAAAAAAAATGGTCACTATGACCTGAAAGAAAAAACTGCTTGAATATTCTTCAAAAATTCCCCTTTTGTGTTTCACTTATTAAAAATAACAGCATA